CTTTTTCGATTGACAGAACCTTAACAGACATCTGTGTCACATTTCTGGCCAAACGGTTGTTTACATTCGCCAAAGAAAGAGCATTTGTTGTTTTGGGACTTTCGAGTTAAGACAATGTCGATAAAGCCTTTTTTTGAGAATATCCGGAAGTCAAGCAGTGCTAAGTCACCGATGATATGAGTTCAATTTTTGATAAAAATGCTTCGAAGAAGGGATACAGTATGGAAAAGCGCCCAACATCGATTATCTTACACACAAATGCTATTTGCTTGATGTTCGGAAAGTTTTTTTAATATCAATGGGCGACTTTTGAACATCGTGTCCCTGATCTTCTTGATGGGGAGACATCTAAGAGACGCCATTACACGCAGCTTATTCGCTGAACTATTTCACTCATGTTAAAAATCGAATTCATGTCATGCCGGAAAACGCGTTTTTAATATTTTTCAAAATTTATTTACAACTCTGACAAGTGCTAACTAACCTTATATCTCTTTGCATGTTGCGGAATCAAACATAACATTAACCAATAACAGAGAATTCTTATCGTAAAACACTTTCAAAAAACTTGCTTCGTAAACACAACGCATATAGAAGCAATGAAAAAATAACTTGAAAGCAAAAACATTGCAAACATTGCCATCGGACACGACTATTTAGTTATCGTTCTAGAAAAGAGATTGTTTGATATTCATAGCCGCTACTAGAAAATCCAAATGTATCTTTTTTATCGTAATGTTTGTATGAACAACAAACTCTCTCAGCGATATACAGTAAAAGATTATACGTTCGGTTTAAAGCGAAGCGTATCAAGGCACAAACGCTTCGTTTTAAACTAACACTAGACACTGAAACTAAGGATAAGGATGTGTTTGCCAAGTTGAAATTTCACCTTGTTATGTCACTTTTCGCGATTCGGTCACCAATAACCCGCAGATGGATACGTTAAAATTGACGCGCAATCTCGAACATATGTATATTTGCTTATATATACATTTCACAATAAATTATGGCAGCACATAAACTATATTTTGAGGCATTTTTCATAGTATGATTCTTAGCAAGCGCAGACCGGACAAATGATTTAAGTGCAAACTAAACGATATCGATAGGAAAAAAATTAGGTTTTTCTGCTTATTACTCATAAACTATTGTGGATACAAAGATGAATATTTCGGCGTATGTTCCATGATTGATCTGTAAAAATGGAAAAAGTTCAACGCAACCAGACTGCGTTCAAGAGTACCGAAATTTTGAGTTTATGTAGGTATAAGGTAAAGTAATCGATCGCAGGCAAATACATTTCTTTCATTTCTTCTATCATGAGTTTGCCTACCTTTGAAAAAGTTTTCAAATTATTTAGATGACTAATAAAGTTTATGAATCATTAGAAAGAACAGAATTCTATGACGGTAGCAAAATATGATTAATTAGTTTTGAAACTTGAAACTTTGAAACACTTTCCCAACTATAGCTACACAATTAGTCTGTAACATGTCATTCAATCAACTTTTACTCATATAAACTGATGATCGTGACTAACATTTTCTCTATTTCTCTAAGATTTTTTACCTTATCTGATTTTTGAATTTTGAAGAAAGTTTCGTTTGTCGATTGTACGTGCGAATATATGCCCGAATACAACCGTATTCAGTAATAGTTAACCTCTCTTTAGGTAAGTGAAATGTGAATTGAAGAGATGAAGGTGTTGAGAAAATCTCAAGAGAACAACTCCTCAACAAAAGAAAAGAAATCCTCTTTTTGTTATGCGGCGTGTGTGTTTGTGACATAATTGCATAAATCAGCTATTATTGCTTTCTATAGACAGCAAACAATTTAATTTCTTTTTCACTTTCTACTTAACTGCACAAGTGGCGACAAGCGCATTGAGATTATTGTCTGTCTCTGTTCTGAGACTTGATATTTATTCGACGACAACTTTTGCTTCTTCTCTTTTGCTCTAATATAATTTTTGTTTTATTTTTTACATTTTTCGCTTTGCAATGAATTGTAAGTAACTTGAAGAAATGAAGGTTTGATTTTCAATAAGTAACAGCATCTAAAAAAACCAAGTGGGAAAGTAATAATTATGTATATTAAAATACTTGTCTTAGAATCTTCACCAAAATACATTGTGTTTGGTAGAATTTTCAGTAGAAATTCATTTAAACATTTCTTAAATAACGTAGCGTAAGCGATTAGTTAAGAGACCATCGGCAAAGAGTACAAAGAATTGCAAATGATGAAGACGAAGAAAACTGTATTCACTTTAACAAGGAGAATGTTACGCACCCACCTCCTACTAATATACGCCGCGAAATATTTTGCATTAAGTGACCGAGAAGAATCATTTTTGCAGCGACCTTTCTAAAAACATCTATATATCAAATTTTATTTTGCCATCTACTGTGAGGTATTTTTGTTTTTAAATATTCTTTGCAACTTTTTTTCTAAACGGGATTACATTTTCTGCTTTTTGTAAAAGCAAAATAATAACCTGAGTTGCTATTTTTACAAAATGCAATCAAAAAGAAATCTGATTAAAATCCGACCATTTATTATACTCTAGGAGAAAACTTAGGTTTTCCTATTTACCTGTGCGACCGAGTAGGGTAAGAATCTCGACGATCGTGGGTCCAATTTTCAAGTGCTGCAGAGTTTTCAATAAAACCGAAAGCCTTAGATGATGCTAATGCACTAAATCTTCGTCTTTGAATTTATTTCTCTGTTTAAATTGACTGCGATAATAATAAGTTTTCCTTTTAAATCTTTTGCTTATATAAGGTCTTGTTATGAAAGCGAAAGCATCTCTTCTTCTTGGAATTTTTCAATTAAATGAACAACTTAATGTCATGCGACAACTTGAAATAGTCGTACATTCTTCAGAATATTTTCGTATCGTTAAGGCGAAGAAGTCCAAGAAGTGATTAAAATGTGTCCGTACAAATGATGGTTTAAATTTGTTGATTCGACTTCTAGATGTTCGTGTTTATGGCGTAAGTTCGAGAGTCTTCAGCAAATTTCAGAAACACTATCCAAACATGTCGTCTAATGAAAACATCAAAGGTATAGCTCACCGTGGCGCTCCCTTAATGAAGAATTTCGTACATCAGCTCACGACATTACAGAACATTATTTATACGAAAAATACTTACATCTATAAGAAATATCTCCATCTTATTAATAATCTCTGAAAATTTATTCTTTTTCCTCTCTATGCTGTGTCTAATCGCTCGATTAGACTTTTTGTTTCACTCTGTCAGCTGTCATTATGTCAGCGGACAACGTCTATTAGATAACTAGATTTTATAAAACTACAGCGGTATTAGGAAAATTATTATACCCACCGGCAAAGGTTTTACAAGTTGCATGAAAAAGAAATCCTCACCTGACACTGTTGGCAGATTTTCAACAATATGTTTACGTTTCATTATTGCATTCTTCCTTTACTTTGCATGATTATATCATTTACTTGAAAGTTTTTCTATGTTTTCTTGTTTCCTTTGATCGACGTAATGTTGACTAAAGCGAAAAGTTTTACAACAAAAAAAAAAAAAAGGAAAAACAAGAAATTTTCTTATCAAAATTTTAATAGGTTGAGCTGTCATTGCATTCGCAACGTAACGGAAGTAAGACTAAATTAAAATTTTATTTTAAGTATAAATAATAAAACCTAAACTCAACCACAAAATCTCGTTTAATGGAGGATGCATTTCCTATTTATGGTGTGACTAATAACTTTCAATTAATTTATTCATAATTTGTGGCATAATTTAAATTATTTTATTACAATTAGGAAACATTTCATCTTCATTATGTTGTTTATACAAAATCTACTGCAAAACGCACTTTCTTTCATTTTACGTATGTTGTGTACACACCTTGCAATCGCTATTTTTGTATGCATAACAAAAAGTCATACGTAGAGGCAAGCGATTACCAAGCCAAGTAAGCATCCATAGATTACTTACTAAAGTTGTCTCATATCGTACATTAAATATTTGGCGACAAGTTTTACTTGCCCATTTTCTGTTGTCACATTTGTCAACCACCGCAACAAATGTAGCAAAAATATTCATCGTCAACGACTAGACACTAAATCAAACACTTATGGGCATTAACGCGTTTGAATGTTTTTTAATTGAACAACTCTTTGCGTTCGTTTTCCCAACTTGTTTGAAAAGGAAGCATTTATAGGATAACTACAAAAGACATGCGTATGCTTGGTTTATATTCCAGCTCGTAGCACCGTTCGATAGCTGATCAAGGACACTTCTTTAGAAAATGTTAAACCACTCTGAACCACTCTGATTTTTTTAAAGCTTAACACATTACCTCTTTGTTGTTGTCCGTCAAAATATGATACACTGTCTAAAAGGATACATAAGAAAACTATGCTCTTTCAGTTCCGAAACTCGGACTTATCAAGAACATAACTTCTGAGGCACATTTCTTTGACATATATGATGTGCATTCTTGGATTTTACAAGTACAAGAACGAATGTTGCATATTCACACCCCTCAGTTCCCAAACCAGATAAAACTTATTCCCTCAAAAAAAAAAATATAAGATAATCACAATATCGATCTCTAATGCTTTGCTGCTTCAAAAAAAAGAAACCGATCACATCAATAGCTAGCAATAGAGAATTAGCAGTAATTATAAAACATTAGTCGTCGTAGTAGTTACAAAGTAATAGCACCGGTAGTTATACAGTAGTAGTAGTACTAGGACTAGTGCCAACATTAGTAAAGTAGAAATAGCAAAGAGCAGCAGTATTAGTAGTTATAACATAGTAGCAGTAATAGCAACAGTTTTAGTATTTATAAAGTAATGGTAACAGCGACAGTAGTAGCAATAGTTACAAAGTAGCAGCTAAAGCAGTAGTTTTAGTTTAGTATAATCGCGTAGAAGTTATAAAGTAATAGTATTAGTAGTTGCAATAACGGTAATTGGTAAGGGAGCACTGGCAATGACATAGTAGCATTAATTATATAATAGTAGTGACAAAGCAATGGTAATAGTAAAGTGGAAATACTATGTATTTCTATGGGTTTATACTATGTAATCTTAAAAATAGCTGGATCTAGGAAGCGTTTATGAAAGTATTGAATAGATGATCGATAGCAGATGATTAAGTAGATGATTAAGTAAACAAACGTTTATTTTGAATGGATTGGGGTTTTGACCTATTGACGGCTGAATATATTTCCGTTGTCTATTCTTGCATTCAGCGAACTTAATCGCCTTTAACCCTATTTTTGCCTATGTTTCTCTTATGATTGATAGATGGAGGATTGGGTTTGCTCTACCATAAATAGATTTTACACAAGTATTATTATTAATGAAGAGAAAAAAAAAACTTGAAATGTATAAATTTTAGATTATTCACTAGCAACAGATAGCTTATATACGGGCTATATGAAACTCGACCTAGTATCACAAGTAAAAATTTTTATCGAAACTAATATATCTTAATAAACTCGCATTGTTGGTTAGCAGATATGTAAGACTCGCTCGAAGTCAATTAAAAATTTCTTAGTTTTTTTTTTTGCTTATATTTTATCTCTAAAAGCAAGTATTTTAAATTTATTGAAAATACTTAAAGACTTGTCCGAATGCAAATCAATATCGCTGGAAAATACATAAGATTTGAAAAATGCGTGAATATGTAATAAATAATAGTCTCAAGGCTAAAAAGCAACTATTACTTGGGAGTATAAACACATATATGGAAACTTAATTGAAAATGTGCATATTTTATTATTTGTTGGCTCTGGTGTTACGCACGAATGGTCACTTAAATGCATATATCATTTTATTATATTTTATGATATGTAAGTTCATGTTCAAAATCACTAAGCACAAAGTCTTTTCAAATGTTGACAAAAAGCCAAAGAAAAACTTATTAAACCTTTAAGGCAGGACGACCTATGTGAGAGATGTGCGTTCTTGTTGTATTGAATTGTATCAAAAAACGGAAGGAATTAATTTGTACACCTATTATAATAAAATGTAAAAATATTTTATGCAAGAAAGGCAAACTATTAACACTGGCAGCAAAGATGAATTTTCGTAGCTCCAAGCTTCCAAGCTCTACATTTGATGAGAAAAACTGGGTGTTTGTTGTAAACTATAATTAGCCAACAATACAAACACAAGGACGTACTATTAATAATAATTGACGCAACTAAGATCCTTGTTAAAGGCCGAATTACGTCAGCGTGAGAAAAGATACCATGAGTGTATTCTTTGCATAGTAACTCTCGATCAACTGTTTCAAAATTTCCACGGAGTAAGCATTAAACACTCGCATGAGCATCCTCGATGGTTTCACCAGCAATGCTCTCACTATCTTATTATCGCTTATTGCAATCAGCGACCCATCTGAGCAGTACATGCACTCTTTTGAGTAAACGCAGCCACGAATCGGCTTAAATGGCAAATTGCTGTTGTTGTTGAAGGATCATATTTTGAATAAAATATTCGCGGAAATTTTTTTAAATTAACTTTTCATTTTACCAAAAATATGTGGAAAGCTTATTTTTAGGAACCCATTGGAATCCAATACAAGAATTATTTTTTGTTTGATACTTACTTTCTTGAAAATTGATTTCTTATCAAAACTGAACCTCCTGATGCGTCCTAAATCCTATTTGTGCAATCGGTCCATTTACTTGTATACGGGCTGCTGGCATCTCCCTTTTCTACTTTTTACTTTTTTTCTTTCACCCTCGTTCCTCTTTCTCACCGATTCACTCTTCCTACTATAATTGCTTTAGGCTTTAGTCAAACTTCGTTAGTGTAAAAGGCGCCACTATTTATCTTATATAGACAATGTCTACTATTCGAGATCTTTCTACTAAAAGACTGTATACTAGGGCAAGGTTTATTGCCCTTGAACTTTCAATTCATTCAAAATGAAAATTTTGCTATCATCAGCTTAACAAGAATGCCAGCAACCTGTCTCTTTCTATTCCTACTCAAATGATTGCATAGCAGTCATTAAGCTATTCTTTTTTTTCTGCTTTACTTCAATTTGAATGCGATTTTATTTACCCGAAATCAACAAATCGTTAAAAACTCTTAACTCTTAAATTCGGTTATAAAGTATCTTTTAAACAATGACAGTATTTTTGAAATTCATGGACTAAATACTAATTAAACTAAAAGTATGTTAAATTAATAGTTTATTTTATTTTTTTTTTAAAAAAAAACTTCATTTTTTTTTTCTTTTATGTATTGCAATCTCTTGATTGATAAAATAGTATATATCCGGTTTCCGAAGATTTTTGAATATCTGAAGTTAAACCATAAAAGTCTTCTATCGTTGAAGCTTCAATTTTATCAACCATATCATCATCGAATAGCAACCAAAGTCCATGACTTTTAACAATGCTTATGTAATGACCACGATTTGGACCCGAACCGCAATGTATGACGACAGCCATTAAATCATAAAGTCTATCCGGATTGACTGCATCATCGGACGTATTAAATAGTCGAAGTTCTAACGGGAATACTACACGATGTGAGACTTTAATATGACGATTAAATTGCTCCATGTATTTGAAACGTTTCAAATGTAAAGCCAAAATCATGGGTAATTTCTTGACACGCATACGTTTTTGTGCCTCCTGATAACTGCAACAATTGTCGCATTTGAATTTATTATCCGAACATAGGGTTTCCGTATTGCTAAAGCAGCGCAGGCAGTGCGTGATTGATGTATTTTGGTCGACATCGACTTGTAAATCGAAAAAATGCTCATCTTTACTGCTTACAGTCTCACAATTTAGGCAACGGGTCTCTGAGGTTAGAGTGCCTTGAAAGATTTCATGCACCCACGTTGGCTCGGTATTGGCAGAATTATTTTGTGTAGACGTTGAGGTGTCCGCAATTCCTATGCTAACACCTAGACCGTTTAATGAACCCGATGAATTTGTGCATGCCCCGTTACTAGTAGAATTCGAGGCCGAAGTCGATGTAGAGGTAGTCGACGATGATTTAGTTGCTGTTCCTCCTCCACTCCCTCCTCCTCCACCTGCTCCTCCTCCTCCTCCTCCTCCGCCTCCTCCACTTCCCATGACACCTGCAACTCCACTATTCACATTATTTTTCGAGGCATTGCGCTCTGCTAATATGATTTCATTGATGTGATTAATGAGGAAATTAAGAAATTCATGAGCATCCTGTTGCATATAATTATCAAATTCCTCTTTTTCTTTGCGAAGGCGAGCAATAAATTTCTTGGGTGCTATAGAGCCGACTTTTTTCTTTTGTGTAGCTATATTATAGAAAAGATCGGCTAAACACGATAGCAATGTCTCTTTAGGGCGTTTATTTTTCGCTTTATATTCCAAAACTTTTTCACGAAATGGCTTGCAAAAGTACAATGCTTGTAACACCGAGTTGCTGTAGCAAGTGTTGCCGAAGTTAACCAAACCGAAGTAATGTTCATTTGGCGGAAACATATCCGAACCGATTTCTCTTTCTAGTTGAGAAACATTAGCGCCCATTATTAAGAGTAGACTTTAATTGTCTGCTTATTTATTCTTCACTTCACTTCTCCGCTTCGCTTCGCTTACTCTTCTATATGATTTTTACAATAGCTTTATTAGATTAGAGGACAAACTAAAGAACAACAACCACCACCATCACCATTTGTGTATATCAATATTGTTATTAATTTTTAACGGGACATTTTTTTTGTCTCTTTCTTTCTTTCTTTCTTTCTTTCTTAATTAATTTTCATTAATTTCTGTTTTCTGAAAATAAAAAAAAGTTGAAGAGGGGACTTGCGTGAGTTAATTATATTTTGGAGCAATTGATTTTAAAACTAAATGTTATTAAATTTATATAAATTTCATTTTTTTTTTTTTTTTTTTTTATTAAATTAATAAAATATTTTTATAAATATTTGTGAAAATATTTTATTAAAAATAAATTATTTTTATATTTATTATCCCCTCTCCAAACAATTTTTTTGAATTAAAATTTAATTAATTTTTTTTTAAGCTTTTTCAAAAGATTCACTCTTTTTTTAATTCCATTTGTCATTTTTACTCTCTATTATGGAAATATTAAATAAAAATTTAATGAAACAAAAAAAAAAAAAAAAAAAAACATTTAAATAAACATAGAGGAGAAGGAAGAATAAGTACAATTTCCAGTTACTTCTTTGAGCAGTAGTCACATTCAACTTAAACTAAAATTAAAAACATAATTGAATTTACGAAATGTTTGATTGAAAATGAAATTGAATATTGTCTTTGTGCACGAAATGATTATTAAAACTTTTGTCCATCTAATAGTATTGCAAACAAGTAGAGGGCGAAAATTTAACTACTAAACTACAGTACAGTGTATTTTGTACTATTATTTATTCTACTATGGTAGAGTATAGTACATATACGGCATAATGTAATATACTAATATGGTATACTATACTGTACTGTATTGTACTATAGTAGTACTATACTATACTTACACCCATTTTTCGCTAACATACCGAAATTCAAAACATTATTAAAAATAATTCCCGAAAGAAAGGTCTCATTTTTTTTGCTCATTCGACAGGTAGGTTTATATATTATTATTATTATTATTATTAATTTCGCCAGAGAAATAAATTCTAAGACTAAACTCTTAAAAGCACTAGCATCTAAGACTATCGGCTTTAGGTTTATATAGATTCACGTAATATAGGTGAAATACAGGCGACATTTTCTATTTTGGCTGCACTAGAGTCTCAAATTTGTATGTTCTTCCATAGCCATTTTTCGCTAACAAACCAAATTTCAAAAATCGTCAGAAATAGCTTCCATAAGCAGAATTTGAATTTCTTTAGTTTGTTTGGAAAGTATTTTCATATAGGTTCATCAACTGTCCACAAAAATATTTTCTTTTTTTTAAATGGGAGGGGCAAGCTTTCAAATCCAACTGTATCTTAATTGTAATTATTTCACAGAGCTTTGTTAAGTCGTTATCAGAATTTTCTTATTGGAAATGGTAGGTGCCTTTGCTAATTAAATTCGAATTTATCTTCACACCCTTAATTTTTGTTGTCATTGATTGTATAGCAAACGTCTTTTTCTACACAAGAAATGTAAAAAAATTTATCAAAACATATTTGCTACATTTTTGCTTACGAACTCAACCGTTATGTTAATTAATGAACCGAAAAAATAATAAAATCGTAGCATCTATCTTCAAGTTATAACCGTGTTATACCAGGCCTATCATAATTTTTCGACCGAATCCGTCTTACACTCGTGTTGCGGGTAGTTGTTAAAAAACGTCGTGCACGCAAGGGCAGCATCGTGGCCACATCGTGGTGGATGTACACAAAATTGGGTTTTTGAAACTTTACGCTTATGTGCGGAATAGCACAATGGATAAATGATCACCACTGTTTTGCTGGCACATATGCACCCTTTTATCCAAATCTTTCACAACCAGTTTGCGTAGATGTGGCTGAATTTCGTTAGTGCAGGGTTTAATGTCCTCGTTCAAGGCACGGATAGTTCCTTGTGGGCTTATTGGCATAGACCTTTGACTTCAAATAACCTCATAAAAAGAAATCCATTGGCATCGGTTACTCTCTTTACAATTCAATCAATACTTCGACCATTATTTATAGGACTGTGGTCCCCAAAGCTTCATTATCAACCGAATATTGTTCAACAATGAAAACGCGTTCTTCTCTTATGCAATACTGCCTTTTTACTAGCCCTAAATTGTCAACTGTCAATTTGCCTTTTCTATTTTGGGTGGCCAACTTTTTTTCGCACAAATGACGACAAATTCAAATCTTTCGTAAGCATTGGGGCACCATATACATGTGTATATATGTGTCAGTGGTTAGCGTTGTGGAGCGGCCTGCCAAGATCATGCGATGTAACCCCATTAGAGGTTTTCCTCTGCAGTTATGTTAAGCCATTGATTTAATCCAATAAACCACAAAGACCCTAAGACCTTAATATTATTAGTTTCCAACTAGAGATTTCTTATAAAAAAAACAACTACGGCTACGAGGTGGAGAGAAAAATGGGATCGAAAAAACATAAAAGACGGGAGAGAAGAAATAAGCGGCCGTTACAATGTTGAAGTTCACTTTCTTAATGTATTTAGATTTTTTTTTTTAAATTCAACTTTAATATAAAAACTACGTTAAACCGACTTTCCAACTCCTCAGATCTTTTTCAATAACTTGCAAAAAATCGCACGCATATAAGTTGTCTCGTATTCATGAACCAAACTTTTGCAACAAACAACAACAGACTAAAAATAAAGAAACCACAAGATCTTCTTCCAAAAAGCAGAAATTTTACCAGGCAAACAAAATTGAAGAGCAAGGAAACTTTTGTATTCATTTTTAACAACATTTTTGCTTTTACTTGCACTGAGAGTGAAAGTAAATAAATAAATAAATAAACAAACAAATGTTTTCAATCTCTTTTCTTAACAAATCTTTTCATGAATGTACTTCGATGCGAGACAGAGAGAATTGAAAGCAATTGCATTGTGCGTTGCTCGGAGTGATGCAATACACTGGTACTCAAGTGGAACATACAGCTTGCATTGCATAATTGCCAAACAAGAATATTTAGATTTAAAACATTATTGGATATGATTTTAAAATTAATTAGATGCGTCAGAGCATCAGCACAGACAAGTTTAGAGGGAGACGTTGCAGAGCAATACACATATTTTCCAAAAGTTAAGGAAAATGATCACGCATAGGTTAGCAAAAGTTCGAATAATATTCGATAAATCTTAGAACCACAACATATACATACAATCAAAGTACTATCATATATATATCATCTATGTTTATATAAAGTATCGCTTACCGTGTTAAAATGGTGAATTGCTGTCAATAATCGGTATAAAATGAGGTTAATATTTTCAGCGTATGCCTCTAATTCATCTTCAAAGAGTAATAAACAATCGAAACTAATGAATTTCTATCGATTTTGAAACTTTTCATCAAAATTTTAATCAAAGTGAATGATGCAAAATCAAATCAGATGTTCGTCTATGCTGATAGAAATATTAGTTGAGTAGGTTCGCCTGAAACGATATCGAAAAAAGTAGGAAATATTATATTTAAAAATTAAATAAGAAAAATGGAATTTAATTAGTAAAAAAAAAGAAAAAAAATAATAATCCAAGCAATCCCGTTATTTTATTCATTTATTTTTTTTTTTGTTTAAATATTTTTTTCAATTTTTTATTTATTTTTCCTTTCATTTTTTTTTTTTTTTTTTTGTTCTATTTATTGTTTTTTATTTTTATTTATTTCTTTACTTTTACTTATTTTTTATATTTTGTGTTTTTATTAAATTTATTGCTTATTAATTGTTTTTTTTTTTTATCTATAAAAATAAGTGTCCTTCAGCTCAAGAAGAATCTTAAACAGCTGTCTAGTAAAAGAATTATGGGGTATCCCTAATACTCTAATCGAAATTGCTTATAAATATTCATTGCAAGCAATAAATCTTCTTCGGTGAGCGTAAAAATTAGGTCATCTTTCTAATCTTGTAATAAAAAATAATTTTAAAAAAATGCATAGATAGAATCATTAAACAAGAACAATGATGAGTATTAATTTAATTAATTAAAAATTTTTTTTTCAAGTTTTCATAAATGATTGCATCGACAAGATAAGCTACAATTGATTAAACGACATAATTATTACTTGTGAAGACGCTTTAATTTTAATTCAAAAATATTCTGAGAACAGTTTCATTTTGTCTTTGCTCGAACTCGGATATTTTATAAATTTCTTAACAATGATTGTCGAAAATACATTTTTGTTTTTTATTTTTATAACCGTACAATTGCTCGGGAAAATCATGGCAATGCCAGCAGCAGTTAATCAAAACTATACTAGTGATCTGTTGCGCATGGCTAAGGCCGCACAAATGCGAGCTTACATGAATGAGAACAAGGCTCCATGTGAAAATTTTTATAAATTTGCTTGCGGTAACTGGATGAATACAAATCCGGCTAGTCCAAGGCGTAAAACGAGCTATCTCGATCAACTGCAAGATTTGTATTGGCGTAAAAGTGCTGAAATGCTGAAATCGACAAGTCATAGCGATACCACTCTTGATCTGAAATTGAAAGATTTCTATGAATCATGTCTTTCTACCGGCAAGCTCGATCGAGTTGGCTTAGATGTCATCTTGAAAATGGTGAACTTTAAAGGCGGCTGGCCTAAGTTAGAAAGCCCGCAATGGTATGAATATGAGTACGATTGGCTGAAAGTAGTCGCCGAACTTAGACGCAAACTGGGAGTGAATATAATAATCGGTTTAAACATAGTGCCCGATTTTGAAGACAAAGATATGCACCGTATTATGATAGGTGCTCCGGAATTCGATCTTGAACGCGAAGTTTATATGGAGGCAGACGAGGATAAAGAAAATTTGCGTCACGCATACACTTATTCAGTACAGGTACAATTGAATCGTTACTTCCCAGATATGTCTGAGGAGTGGGCCTCGGAAGTAGCTCAGCAGATTCTGCACATGGAGAAGAGTTTAGCAGTTGGTTTACCTCTAAATAAGCATGTCACACCTAATCAAACCACACGATATCGATATACGAATGATTTGAAACAAGCCTATGGCAGTTATGTGGACTTGAATCGCTATTTAAATTTAATTTTTAATCAGACCATTTACTCGCAAGTGTATGAAACACCCGAAGATTATTTTTCTAATTTAGTGGATGTCATCAAAGAGACACCGAAATTAACTTTAGCTAACTATACAATGTGGAAGGTTTTACAGCAATTTGAGTTAAACACAGCTTCACAGTCTAAATCGAATAGATGGTGCGTTAATAAAGTCATGGAATACTTCCCAGACGCTTTAGAGAATATGTTTGCTCGCAATTATCAGACCATACAAATGGTTAATCAATTGCAATCATTATGGGCCGATTTAAAAAAAGCCTTCCGTGACGAATTGTTGAACTCCGATAAATTAGTATGGATCGGCTTAGATACGCGACAAAGAGCTGCCGAAAAATTGGAAGCAATGGACTTGGAATTACCCAGCTCAAATACCGGTTATGTTGAAGAAGTGGCAAAATTGAAGATACGCAAGCTTAACTACTATGAAAATTTGATAAACATACTGCAATGGAAAACTACGCAAGGATTGACTAAACTCGTTCAAAGGCCGTCAGACGAAGCATCGAAACATGACGTGCCCTTTTATGCGTTAGACGCAAATAAAGTGAAAATTCCAGTCACCTTTTTGCAATCCCGTTTCTTTTGGGATTCCAACTATCCTCATGCCTTACTATACAGTTCTTTAGGTTTTCTGCTCGCTCAGCAAATGTTGAAAGGTTTTGATTCGCGAGGCCGTAAATACGATAAGCACGGTCATCTACGTTCTTGGTGGGACACCATATCGGAATATGGCTTTGACGATCGCGCCAATTGTTTCGTTAAACAATATTCGGAATACAAGTTTCCCGGCTGGGTGGTGAAAGACGAAAAAGCTCTACAAAATGATTATATAGCGGATAACGGTGCTTTAGATATAACCTACAAAGCTTATCAGCAATGGTGGACGAATGTGGCTAACACACAACTGGCCGCTCAAGAAACTTTACCATTACTCGAGGAGTATACACAAAATCAGTTATTCTTCTTGGGCTTTGCTCAACTTTGGTGTGCTGATTATGATTTAAATTATCCCGATTATGAGCATGTACCCGAACGTTGGCGTGTCATAGGTGCTTTAGCTAACTTTAACGCGTTTGCTCGCGAATACAAATGTGAAATAGGTGTTAAAATGAATCCCACACAAAAATGTACACTATACTGAGTATGAAATCGGAATATTACATTAAACTAGATTTTGATACTAATGTTTGCCATTTCGTATATAGTGTAAATAAACTAAAGATAACCTTTTGAGTTTTAATTGAGCGAACAATATTTTAACTCATTCACGTTATCAAACGATTTGGCTCGAATAGAGGCCAACCCGTGAAAGGAGGAGAAAATGTATACAAATAAAAATAGTGTTGATAAGGGTTGCCATTTACTAGTTTCTATAAAAAAAAAAAAAAAAAAAAAAAAAAAAAAAAAATCACAAAAGCCACTTCCAAAACAATACACACCACTAACACATTTTAAAAGAAACTTATGTAGAGTTCGAGTGCAGTTTCTTAATGTCTTGGGTTGAACCCAGAAAAAACTTCAATAAATTACTGTGACTACACGCTATCGTAACGCCAATGGCTATGTACAAAATTGACTTGTGAAATATAGCAGAAATCGCACTGATCCCTTAAAAATGTGTTATTATAAATGCACTGATCGATTTAACAAATTATATATCAATCAATCAATCAATATTGAAATGATGGTTATTTGTTTACAAAAATTTTGCGATCAGGTTTGTTGTTGCAATATATGAGCAGGCAAAGAAGTACGGGTTAAATGAAGTCAGTAGCCTCATCTTAAATTTGGCATGAACTTCAAACAGGTAGGTTACAGATGTCATTGCGAGGACTTTTTTTTTGTTAACTACATACGCATGAATAAAGCCGTATTTAATATTGTGATTTAGCTCATCTAACGCTCTGAAAACCGATTTTTGAGCTTCCAGGATAATTTCGCCAAACTTTGTCGGAAATACTGCCGTAGGCTTGACTTTTTTTAATACGACTGCGAACAACATTTATTTTTGAGAGACAATCAAGCGACATGTTTTGTAAGAACGGCTTTTGTGGCCCTTTGTCTGTCAAAATACAATTTTCAAAAGGTCGTCACAAAAATCGCAATCAGTTTGGGGAGGGGAACCTTACCTTGCGCCTTGCCCCAGAAATATGAAGCTTTGCGTGCGGTTTCACTTTCCCCGTATTAACCTCACCCCTGCTGTATATGCACCCACCATTATGAACGTTTACCAAATCCTCAGTAGCGAAAATCCTCATTAAGCAAAAAAACTATTTACGTCCTCATGAACTGCTTACCTCAAATGTACTTTACTTTTAGGTTAGGAAGGAGGACATTTTAATATATACACTCAGAGGAAACAAATTCACAATCCTTTCAAGCAATCATTTGCAGGTGGGTACTCAGTCCTTACTCACAAAAAAAAAAAAATTTCAAACAATGGCAACCCAACTAATAAATTAAGCTATTAAACCTAATGTTATTTTGACAATACTCAAACTTGGGAGACGCTGTTCTCTTGTTTAGAGGGCCAGTTCTCTCCACGAGGAAGAGAACTTTAAAAATCATAAGATCGCTTTAGTTCTAATCAATATTTTAGTTCCTATGTTTAAAACGGGAAAGTGAAGAATGTTAAGTAAAATATTTCGTGTAATACTATTAAATATCATATGCTATTCTTCGGTTGTGACACAACAAAAAAATTCGATCTTTTCATTATACAAGCAAGATGAAGCCATACGTCAAGCTAAGAGTCAAGAGATATGCAAGTATCTAAATATTAACGTGAATCCTTGTGACGATTTCTATGAGTACGCTTGCAGCAACTGGCAAAAGTATCACGGAAAATCCCGTCAGAATGAAACAATTACACCTGACACTATTCTAAAAGAGAAGATTGATAAAGATCTCCAAAATATCTTAAAAGAAAATCTAACTGTTAAAGATAGTACGGCTGGACGTAAAGTGAAAAATTTCTACAAATCATGTTTAGAAGCGAAGCATAACGACATCAATCATCAGGAATTCATAAGTGATTTCATTAAAAGCAATGGCGGCTTTCCGGCAGTTCCCGGATCCAATTGGTTGGTCCGTCATCATAATTATGATTGGCACAAGTGGTTGGCTTATTACGATATCGTTACGGTATGGATATACTTGTCGGCTTGGATATCGATGTAAATTATGAAAATGTTTATGAAAATAGTATTTATTTAACGGAACCTAAGACACTTTTACCCGCGAAATTATGTAACGCTAACTTTAGCCGCTATTTAGACACAAGCGATCCGGCATATCAAGCCACTGAAATTGAGGTAGAGGGAAATTTAAGGTTATGGTTGTCACTAACGAAAAATGAAGCTCAGCGATTATCAGCCGATATAGTAGATTTTGAATATGAACTGTGTAAAAGTATGGGCATTGAGAAAATCGAAAATCGTACTAGTAACCATAGAAATCTTGAAGCGCAACGACAATATTCACGTGAAACTCTTGTGAAATTTAGTAACCTATTGAACAACAGCATTGATTTTAATCGAATAGTTTCCGAGAGTTATGGAGTTCCCATCTACAAACCGGTATTTATGCATGCTCCCGAATATTATGAACAATTAAGCAAGGTCTTGAAGAGACACAGCTCTGCTACTATAGCTAATTATATTATGTATCGAGCATTATCTGAATTAAACTTTCCGCTTAACGATAACGCCGAGAACCGACCATTCTACTGCGTACAAGTGATGAAACGTTATTTCCCCAAAATTCTGGGTGAAATGTACTATCGTGCACATGCTAACGTAATGGAGAAAGAAGAAGTGGAGACCTTATATGAGAAACTTAAAAATAGTTTTGATCTTAGTTTAGAGCAAGAATGGATTGAAGACAGTACTCGACGTTTAGGTAAAAGTAAATTATCGAAACTGAACATTTATTTTCCGACTTATGACAAGGTGCCCAGTTTGCCTAACGAATTCGTTAGCAACAATTTTTGGCATAATTTAAAAATTGCCATGAGCGAGGTGAAAGACTATCAATTAAATCGTATATTTGAAATTGGAACACCTTCACCTAAGGATGAACTGGAATCATATGAAATCAGAACCGTATATAGGCCTTATCATAAACGTATAGAGATTGGTTGGGGTCTGCTTCAGCTGCCGCACTATCATCATCATTTGCCTAATGCGATGCGCTTCGCCACAATCGGACAAAAATTGGCTGAAGCTTTAATCAGCGCTTTCGATGAACGCGGCTGGACGTCTGACTACGCCGGTTATAATAATTGGGATATGGATACTGCTGCCAGATTTTCTGAACGATCTACTTGTTATCGTCAACAAATTGGTAACTATTTGCAGAACGACTTGAACAGCTTTAATGATACTAAAAAGCTAAGAGAATTACTTGGAAAAAGTTCTGCAGTTAGAATTGCTTTCAACTCATACTTGAATTGGTTACATTATAAAAATCCTAATAATGATCATTCGATTCTTAGAAAGGAGACCTTACCTGAATTGAATTTCACCAACACGCAATTGTTTTTTATAACTTTTGCTCAAATGCATTGTAAATCAAAGCGAAAATCGACGGAAAATAAGACGAAAAAATCCGACATCGATCGCATATTAAGCCCATTACAAAGACATTCGTTGGAGCGTTATGAAGTTAATGGGCCATTAAAAAATTTCGAAGAGTTTTCTCGGGAATTTAAATGTCCGAACGGCAGTGAAATGAACGAAGCCGATAAATGTGTTATTTATTAAGTTATTTTAAGTAGAATAAATGTGTGGAGTAAAAAAACACAAGAGAAAAAAAGGTCTTCTAGTATATCACCATAGCATTATAAACGATTTTCATAGTGGACTTCTATAAAAGTAAAAATAAATGAATGCATTAACTGGGTGTTAAAGGAAACCAGGCTTTCCGATCAATATAATGCACTTGCCTCGGGGGGATGGGAACCATGAGCAGAGCGGACGGTAAAATATTTCCTAGCTGTTAAAAATAAAGGTTAGGCACCTTTTTGTGATACAAAACCCCACTTTTTGCGAAGAGTTTTGAAGGCATGCGCGATGTGACCCAAAGTTACTCAAGTAAGTTAATATGTCAAGTAGTAAAAATTAGATTCTGTTGCTATACGAGGATTTATTTTTTATGAGGACTTTTATGCGGGAAGGGTTTAAAAAATTAGTTCCATCCAAATCATCCAAATTTTCTACATTCATCTATTATGCAATATTTCGTCAAGAAGTATGAATTATTGTGCGTACAAATAAGTTTGGAAGATCCTCTGTTGTAACTTTGAAACTTTATTTAGAGAAATTGTACAACGTACTTAGTTCAAAACATTATCCATCGTCAGCTGCGACATTTCCCAATTTTTCGATTTCCAATTCGAAAAACTTCTCGTCTTTTAAGGTTATCGACAAAAGCACCCATGTTTAGGCGTCGCTATAAGAATTGAAGCGCCGCGCGAGCAAACAATAACTTATCCATTAGAAGCCGAGTTAATCGGAAAAAGTAGTGTCTACTGGTAATAGCACGGAGAATAGGTCTAGGTTACAACTACAAACATTTTCTAAGCGAGTTTTGTTATACGGGACCGATTTCCTTCATATGAAAAACTCACGACATCATGACCTTTATTATATTGCGCCCATTGGAGGTAGTGTTTCTTAGGGATGGTTTCATTTGATTGGAATACATCACTCCCAGTTGACCATCTCAAATGGGACCATCAAGTGTATTGAGCCTTATAGCCGGTTTAACTGCATCGCTTCCTCTCTATACCCTACAGTGCTAATGACAATCTCTCTTACCTAACCAATGTGGCAAAATGTTTGTGAAATCATTCTTTGAAAATAGTAAAAATTACCTGCTCGAGGAGTCCTTGGGCCAAAATTTGCAAACATTCCAAAATTTTATCGAATGGTGTCGAAAATCGCAATTTTATATCTCGAACAAAAAATATATAAATATGAATAAGACAAAAAGATATTAACGGAAAGGAAAACTTCAATTTACTTCGAAAATGACTTCGATTCGATCGGTGTAAGGCAGCGTCTCAAGTGTGTGCGGGGATGGCATGTATGTAGGCAAATATAATACGTCGTTAGTGTAGGGTATACAAAGCACATATAAACAAGCCGCAGTTAGCAAACATGATATTTAGTTTCGTGTTCAACCAGCAAAAGTTATGTTTGAATATACGAAATATGAATGATATGTGATGTGATGTGACGTACGGTTTATGAAATGAGTGAGTAAACTTTGGCTAACATCACGGGAGCTGGTGGAGAGAATTAAAAAGTTCGACTTTAGTCGAAGACAAGTTCCCTCTGGTCTTTACTTAATTCCATTGGCTTTTAAATGCAAATCATTTCGATGTTTCCTGCGCTAGCTATGCGAAAAGCCTGGAAAAGCTTTAAAAGCCTTGTAATCAATTCACCAATTCAAATAAAATTCATCCGACCGAAATTGATTGAATATGCCGCATCAAGCTTCCTGCACTCGTGCTGGTGAATTTTCTATGAGACCTACCCTTCTTATCTTTGGTCGTACATGTCACCGCTACATCTCTTCTGTTTGTGAAAAAACAAAAGGGAATTACACTTTAAAAGAGGAGTGCGCTAATGACGAAAAACTTGTACGTCTTACGTACGTTCTTACAGATGATATGCTTTTAAAAAACTTTTCATTTTGAATTATGCGATTTCTTTAAGAGAGAGATTGATGAAAACTGAACAGCTTGAAATATGCTTGAATATGTGCATCGAAGAAAAGAATGAATTCAAACTGATTGCAAAAAATGTTCTCTGTAAAGAGAGCAAATTTTAAAAATTTTGATAAGAATTTTTTTTCAAGTTTATTACGAGAACTTGAACTAATTTGTTCACTTGATTTAGCCAGCAGCAAGCTTATCATCATAAGATCAATGAGGCAAAGGCAAAAACTAATACTTCATTTTAAAATCCATGGAAAGCTTAGTTTTATATATTTATTTCACCCGTGAATATGTTACAAAAGCGCTTACTATTTATATGGCTTTTAAAAGGATTGTTTATCGTTCTTCAATTAAGTCGAATACAATGTGAACGTAGCCCGGCCGTTATGCAAGCTGAAGCGACAAAAGATCGACTTCAAAAGGCTCAAGAAATGTACAAATATATTAATCCATTAATAGATCCGTGCAGTGATTTTTATGAGTATGCTTGCGGTAATTGGCTACAACATCAATATACAACTTTCGCGAAGCAAAATGATTTAATCACTGCTCATCAACAAATGGAACTGAAAGTCAAACAACAAATTCAAGTCTTACTTGAAGAATCGATAACTTCGCGCGATTCAATGAATTTACGCAATATTAAGGACTTCTTTAGATCATGTAAAGCGGCGGAGTCTTCTTCGCCATTACAAAAGAACTTTGTGCAGGAATTTGTGCGAAATAATGGTGGTCTACCGGCGCCATCAACGTTCCGGAATCATTGGCAAGATAATTACAACTGGTTGGAAATTGTTGCTCGTTTACGTCATAAGTACGGCCTTAATATATTGATAAGTTTGGAAATTCAAAAAAATCTTCAAAGAAGATCGCATTCGAATAGCATCTATTTGGGCGAACCCACGACTATCTTATTACCAATGGAACTATGCAGTTCCATAGCTATTCAAGAAGAATTTGAACATAATCAGCAACAATACGAGAGTGTACAAGAAATCGTTAAAGAAAATTTGAAATTGTGGCTCGATCTAAGAAATCCGGAAGCATCACGTTTAGCTGGCGGTATAGTACGCTTTGAATTCGAGCTATGCAAGCATATGAAAGAGGAAACCGAAAATTCTCCAAATCGACCGAAATTAAGAGAAAATCATTTGCACGGCGTCCACCAATACCATACAAAGCCTCCATCAAATCTATTACAATTAAGTCAAATTTATAACTTAACCCTTAAACAATATGTAGACATTTGCTTGGATGATACCTTACAGACACACGCTTTTTTACGTTCGGAAAAGTATTTTCAACATTTAGCTCATATGTCGCGAACGTGGCCAGTGCATTCTTTCGCCTTCTACATTATGTACACGGCCTTAGCAGAGATTAATTTCCCACGCCAAGAGAAACCTAGTCAACGCACCATTTCCTGTATAAATAAAGTGATGAAATATTTTCCAAACTTTGTCGGAGATCTTTATAGAGAAAAGCAATGGCGCAAAGATATTGAAAGCGATATTGAGGAAATGTACCCCCTAATAAAAGGAGCTTTTCAGGCTCGTCTTGAATTCGATTGGATGTATAAATCTGCCAAAGGTTCTATTCACCAAAGATTACATAAAATTCAACCGACACTGTACGTGAAAGAAAACACTGAAAATGCAATGAATCAAGACATACAGAGTCTAAACTATTGGGAAAAGTTGGAAGTCGTAATGGCTCATAGATCCAATCAAACACTAAGAAGTAGTGATAATATTTTAGAACCTTTTGCTGTTGGCATGGGCTTTGATCCGTTAAACGACAAAATACAAATTGGTCTCGGTTTACTCCAGCCAACGTTTTACTCGCAATACTATCCCTTTGCTATGCGTACGGCTCTCGTTGGCCACTATTTGGCAAGAGAATTAGTGAATATTTTACATGATTGGCAAAATGAAAACTTTCACAATCAAAGCGAATGTTTTCGCACGCAATACAGTAACTATTTGTACAATAATCCACAAAGCTTCCATAATTTCACCAGATTTCGAGAAATTGTGGCTGACAGCGGCGCGTTAAATATCGCCTTTCTGACCTATCTAAGATGGCTAGAAAACGTGGACCATAGAAGGAATCCCGATGTTCTTAATTACGAGACTCTAGCTGATCTTAACTTTACAAACACTCAATTATTTTTCATACATTTCGCTCAAACACATTGTGCTGCCAGGTACCAAATGAGACCAACACCAAATTTCTTCCCATTGGATCGACACACTTGGGAGCGCTATCAAGTTAACGGTCCATTAAGTAATAACGAAGAATTTGCTCGAGAATTCAATTGTGAAATTGGTAAAGACATGAATTTAGATGATAAATGTGTTCTATATTAAAGTCGAATTGAAAGGCTAAATATGTTGAGAGAGGAGCGGACGAGTGATAAATGAACAAATAAAAAATCAATATTCCATTTAGATTGCAATATCATAATATTGGGTAGAGATAAAGGAAAGCTTTAATTTTTACTATTAATTATGGACGAATAAGATTATGGGAAATTTAGTTTAGATTCTTGTACGGATATGCGTATGGTAGAACCCCGAGCGTTGAGTTACAATAAAAGAGAAACAGAAAAGGAAGAAGAGAAGGAAGTAGGTTTGATGAAAAGATGAATAAAAATCAAGAGAAACACAAGAGGTCGCTTTTCGACAGATACGACTACAGCGAAAGGGGAGGGAGGAAACGTTGGGAGTCAGAAAGACGAGGATTGGAAAGCAGAATTAGTAGGAAGCAGATGGTGGGCAGATGAACAGGATGCTGAAAGGGAAGCGAAAATTGACGAAAAAGGAGATAGGTCGATAGAAGAACAAGCAAGCAATAGAAAATATTGAGATAAATGAATTGAAGGAAAGAGAAAAGTGTGCACAGACAAAGAGACGCCAAAATGGATAGACGAGAAGGTAGAGGAATGAAAAGAGAAACAAATGACACAACCTAAGAATTGGAGAGCCGACGAACGCAAACAAACAGCAAGACAGAATAACATATACGCTGAACAATGATTTCAAAGAAGAATAGAATGATTGTAGGATTGAAAACCAAAAAGATACTATGAAAAAACATTATAATAGGAAGATGGACGGACCATTTTTTATCTAAAAATTGAATAATAAAAATGTAAAAGATATTTGGACTAAATTGAGAAACTTAAGAAAATAAAAAGTTTGGGGAATTTATGAAAAAAAAATCTTAATAAATTATGACAATATGAGATAAGCGAGCAGTTCACTTGACAGTACATTTAGAATATATCATCTCTGCTTCTCGTCATAAATAAAAAAACAGTGAAAATACTTAGCTGCAGGAAATTCATATTTTACAAAAAAAAAAAAAAGAAAAAACATACATAAACTCTCTAAGGAAATCATGTGCGATGATAAGTTCAAGGTAACTTTTATGATATTTTTTTTATTGCATACACTAACATAATAACTCAAGAAAGATTTGATGTCTTCAAAGAGAACGAAAAGAAAAGAGACAGAGAGACGGAGAGAGGGAGAACAAAATAATATCTTTCAAATTTTTGAAATCCATCAAGCGTGACATGCAGACAATAAAAATTTTAACATTGAAATTTCGATAACACTTAAATGGTCGAATGAGGTTTTCTTTAACATCTATTCAAGTGAAAACATTTAAATACTTGCTTGGTCTTCCACAAAGTTCAGAGTGCGAATGCAAATGTGTGTGTGTGTGTGTGTGCAATGCTAATCCCTAATATACTCGAAGCTTGCTTCAATACGTTAAAGTAAAATATTTGGTAAAACATTACTAAAGGATAGGAGGAAGTGTTAGGTCTATCGGAAAGTTCCGCCCATTCGAATTATAACAAGTTTCCATAAGTATAGGCGTATTTAACCATCTTTTCATCGCTCAATGCATACATACTGGTCTAGCAAATGAGCTAAAACGAAGATAATTCATGTTAGTATTAGGTGAGACATGACCGTACACCCATTTGCGCTACTACTCCAGTTTGCACGAATTCTAAGAGGGAAAAAGTGCTACTATTTTCTTAAAACTACTTAGTGAAGGCGCAATTTCTGTCAGAACATGTAAAAGATGGTTCGAAATATTTCAGATTGGGGTTTCGATCTTTCTGATAAGCCAGGCTCTCGGCTAATATCTTCGATCAACAACGATACTGTCAACATCATTTTGGAGCGAAATCCTTTTTTTCACGCCATATTCAGAAACTACGATTTTCTTTTTATTCTAAAAACAGATAGAACTTTCCACTAGACCTTACATGTTTAAATTTCAGATTCAGATATTTACAGATCGAAAGTGAAAGATAAAGACCTCTTTCTTGTTCTAATGCTTCTCTCACTGATTAATAGAACAAGAAAAGTTAAAATGAGAAAATCTGGGATATTGTTACATACGGGCCGATTAATGGCCGATATAAAAAAAATTATTGATCACTGATCTTGAAGTAATTCTATCTTTTATCCAATATAGCAAACTTGCATAATACCACATAGATGTCTTCCTCTTTATCATAAAACGTGCAGTGTTTGTTCACGTGAAAAGAGGTTAGTTATATATAAATAAATGTTAAATGTATCCCACTAAATATCTAAATAAACAAAATGAATCAATAAAACGTAGTTAAAAATACAAAAATAAAAAAACAACCAAGAAATGATGTTTAAGTCGAATCTTAAGCATAGTATAAGTGATCTCTACGTTTACTTTATGAATGAAGAGAAAACGCATATATAGGGTTTTAAATATGCCGAAAGCTCAATATATTTTAGACTAGCTCAACCTTTTAGTTGCTTAGTCTTGCTATTCGTTCACTCGATGCAAGAGAATAAAAAATGTAACATTTCCAAGGGCAAGCAGAGAACTGCAGATATATTCATAGCCTGCAAATATTATTTAAATAAAAAAAATAAAAAAAGGATTGACATATGTAGTTCACAAAATCATCAAAACAACTTTTATATCTACCACGAATATCTGCATTACAAATCAAATCGAATGACAAGATTAAGATACCTTTCTTCCGACAATGATTATAAAAAGTTGAAGGTTAAAGAAAACAATTAATTGAAAATACAAATGAATTGCATTTAAAATTGTGCACAAACACATACGTAATTGCAATTTTACTCACAATTGAATGATTACACAAGGTGTACACCACATATAAACGCGAAAGTTGCGATAGATTTCAATGAAACACCTACACCTACTAAAGAAAAATGAATGAATAAAGACGAAGAAAATGATTTCATTTTAATCGATAGCAGCAATACACACAGAAGAAGATAACAATGCGTTTTTCTTAAAACTCGAATAAGCATAGTCACGTTGAAAGACATTTGTGTGTTAGATAAAATCGAAGAACTATAAACTTTACAACAATATTATGAAATGAAGACTTGACAATAACTATTGTTTGCTTAAATGAAACTGTTTTCACAAATAATCCAATGCATCGAAATTAATTGGGTAACATTTCAGGTGTCTATTGCCGATAAGTGTATGTATGAGGTAACCGTTGCCTCTGCACACATATAAAGAATTTAGGTATGCAAAGGTGGGACACAAGTATGTGGGAGCGTACAGCAAATCTTTTTTTTTTTTTTTTACTATTTCTGTAATTGATATAAATTTTATTTCATGCGTCATATATATCTGCTTGCAACTTAATTTAACAAACCTATAAACATTTTTATAAACATATATATATATATATATATATATATACTTTTATATCGATTACAAAAGAGCAGAGATATACGTATATTAATAATATGCGACACCACTTGCGATATAAAAGTAGAATTTGAGACGTATTCACCATTTATTGCTAAGCATGTCTGTCCATCTGTCCATCTTCGTCTTTGTACTCAACCTTCTTCTCTTGTGTTCAACCTTCTGTTCGCAATTTTTGAGATACTCTGATGAAAGTTGGTACACCGACGTGTTCTGGCGCAACGACGAACGCTATTGAAAAAGATTCGGACATAACCACTTTTCGACCACGTCCCGGATAACGTCTTATTTTGAGCAAGTGTGTTAAACGAAGTGGATTTAATGATGGGCCCACTATACTGCTTTGATTTGTTTTATTATGCCACTTGTCACACATTTATCACAAATTGGAAATTTTACAATTCTTCTACAATCCTCGGTTGCAACCCTGTGCACACGTATGGTTAGATGTCGACATTTGCAAACTATGCTTTTCGCATTTGTCAATTTAAGCTTGACAACGAAAGATGAGATGAACATCTGAAAAAGTGTCTCGTATCTAAATCTTTCAGACATCAATCGAAGAAAATTTGTTACAAGATAAGCTATGAAAAAGTTTTGATAGACTCTGACAAGTCCATCGAAGCAAAAGGGGTAATTTAATATTCATGTTAAGGTTAATTTCTTTCCTTTCCTTTTTTATTCACTCATTATACTAATCGCCCCCGGCATCGCTCGATGCGTTTCTTACGGTAACACGAGCTGAGATAGAAAATTTTATTTCTCTACATATGATATTTGCTAATGGTTGCAAAACATCTGAGATCCATACTCTTCAGTGTGTTTGTTCAATATGATTCTACCAAGTTGTCGCACTACTTAACGGAATTGCCTAAGTAGGTGTCTCAAGATGAAATTAATGCACTTTCCGAGCTCGACGAAAAATCACCTCATCAATGCGCCAAACGAGCGCAGTATTTAATTTGATTCATTTTTTTCAGCTATTTTTCTTCTTCAATTTCATAATTTCGATTATTTTATGGCCATGCGAGTGGAGATGTGTTCCCTCAAAATAATAGGGAATAGTTCCACCACTTGGTGAACATCTATACACGTTCCTACGTGTCAAGTTAAAAAAACACTTTCATATTCCGACATCATACTTATTAATAGCATTACTTAGGAGAAATTTCTTCTACATACTCTTAGTTGATGCCTGCAGATCGTGTTGGAAGTTGGAAGCCCCCAATCCACTTCCTATGTACTTGTAGTTAACATATACATATGTGAGTGTATTTTTTCAATATAATAACAGATCATATCATTAATTCGCGAAATGAACGAAATATTCGCCTTGATATATCCTTTTTTACTTATATTTTAAATGTAATTGTACATGGAGGGAAATCATAATGTAAATGAAATTCCATTTTGAGAAATTTGATTGAGTTCATCTTCACCACTAAATACAATATATATCGCCATATTTATTAAGAATATTTATCATTTCAAAAAGTTAATCCAACAGGTGTTGTAAACAGCTTAACAAAATCATTGTACTTCTCTTTCTTCTCAGTAGATAAGAAATGTTACGTCATAATTAATAAGTAAAATATCAGACACTATTACGTCTATGTAACAAGATAAGCGCTGCGTTGACATCACAAAACAATTGATGTAAGCCCACCAGCAAACTTTTTTTTTTCTCCTCTGTATTTATTCCATTGCTTGCATACCGTATGAGTCAACAAACGTCGTTCGACACCAGTTTAACGAATTTCTTTGTTTTTCAGCGCACTAGGCAAGCAAAAAAGGAAAACAAAGAAATCTATAGAAATATATATATATATATATATATATATATATATATATGCGTACGTATATACATTAATATACACACAAATATACATGTGTTCCACTAAGGTGAATAAAACGATCAAAATTTATTTGAGTTGTTGCGAAAGGAGAGGAGAGAAATCATATGAATATGTTCATGAATTGTAATGCAAGTAATGCACTTCTCCTCTTCCATAAATGGTTTACATATAAATGAAGACAATAATAAAAAATACTTGATATAATAAGCGAATGCAAATGCATTTTGATTATAATTTCGATAAAAATTTGTTTAAAAATAATTATGCAAATGTATTGTATTTAACAATTAGGCAATTTTGGGTTAATGGCATTCAAAATAAGTAATGTTTGGCAGGCTATTTTTTTTTTTTTTTTTCATGCATTCTATCATTTCGTTCTATTCATGTTTATGATAGACTGTGTTAGTTACGGCAGACTTACAGACGGACAGACAGATGGAATGTTCAGACAATGCATTTATTTTAATCAGTTGACGAAACTAAATTATTTGACAAATCAATTTGTACTTGCATTTTATGGTATTTTCA